GGAAGAGAAATGATCCAAATCTAGCAAATATGGGGTTGTGATCGACCTTTTCTAATATGATCTTCAATTGATTTCTTCAAAGTCAATGCCTGCCTACAGTCGGGTTCAGCCTACAAACCGATATCATGCATGACATAAGAATAAAACTAAGACTGGTTGATAGAAGTTCCATGAGAAATTAACTATATGCAGACCTCCAAGCAGCGATCAACAAGTTGTCGGCTCCTCGAGTAGTCACCATTTCTATAATATCCAACAGCAAGTAGATACAACTTTTCTCTCATTTGCAATGGGTTGTTGGTTCCGGCCAGTGAAGCTGCAATTAAGGAAGCAAAACCAAACAATGTAATGTAATAGAACTAGAAACCATTATTTTGAACTATTTTACCATTTAACATTCAAAATTTTCATTGTATTATGATTATAGGTCCCATTAAATTGGCATGGTTTATTCTATGTTCAAATTCTTCTACACATCTAGACTACTATCACCCTAATCATGAATACACACTACAACAAAATTAAGTTTAAGAACCCCAAAAGTGTTTAAATCTCCTAATAGAGTGTCTTATAGGACTTAAGTTTATGAGACCAAAAAATAAAGCGTTTTATCTAAATGTGTTACAATAATTTTATACGACACTTTTTGTAACAAGTTTTTAGGATATTTTTTAAAATAAAGGATCGTATTAGCTATTTTAAATAAAATGTTGTATTAGTTTTTTTTTTTTTTTTGAGAAAACGAAGAATGCCTGCAGTTGAGTTGAGAACAAATTAAACAAAGCAAATGAAATTATTGATATCTTCTTCACCTTCAAGCATTGCAATCCCACGTTGTACATCTTCCGGTCGCTTTGAATGGACAAGAGCCCATGACAACCGCATGCGACACTCTTTCTTCATTTCATCTGAAGAACTTTTCTCAGCTTCAGCAACCTCATGCTCACAACCCTGTGGTGTTAATATTCAGCTACTATTACATTATGTCGTTATAAGTAGAAAACCTCATATGTTGTAGTTGAACCAGATATGAACCAGAAAAGACCTAAAAATATAGAAAAAGTAAGTAAAAACCTTTCGGTATTTCCTCTATTTCTTTGGGGGAACTTTATAGTTATTCGCACACTTGTCATAGTCTAAGGTGTTCATGGGACCAGTTGCACTACTCTTAGAGGGTAGATATTCCATACCCAATATGTATATACTCAGCTGGTTTGGTTTGGTTTGGTTTTTGGATTGAATGAAACAAAGAAGGAAGATGCATTATCATTCAACTTTCATCTTAATTTGATCAATATATAGTTTGTAATTAAATGAACAAAATATGTATAAATATTATGAAAAATGGCAATGACCTCTTGTATTCGACTTCATAGCCTCTCTAGCCCTACCTTCCCCATACCCTACTTTGTGTTGTGAAATTAATTCACTAGATTTTGTTCTTGCTTTCGGCTTAATTGCATATAACCCACAGATTATATATGGCACAATTACAATTAGCGCCTGTAGGAATCACGATGACACTATATATGCTTGAAGAAATGACTATTATAAGTTCACATAAAAGCCTAGCCCACTAGCATGCATGGAACAAGGCCAATTGCCATGACCAATCTTCCCATTTACCACAACAAACATCTCGATCAAAGACATGCATGCCCACTAACTAAGACCTAGCTTGTGTACATCTCATCATTGCATTTATAACCTCAATTAATTCTCATGGAGTTGAACAATTAATATCCTACTATGCATAACACTAGATCTAGATGTCATGCCACATGCATTCAGAATTGTACACAAACATAGTCCTTTCTCCACATAAACCCCCCAAAGACTTGGCCATCTCACTCAAATGCAACCTAAAAATAAGGATGAAACCTGTTGATCCTAAGAATTCCCAAGAATAACTACGCTCAAGCTTGTTGATTCAACCAATACCAAACTTTAGGCTCAAACTTAAAATCATAGTGAACTCAAAATTTGGATGGAAAAATGAAATTTTTCGTATTCAATTTATGACCATCCAATTGCATATTCAACATATAAATAAGAGCCCAAAAATAGGAGTTGATGGGCCAAATATAATATCCCAAATAAAAAATGTAAAATAGAAACAACAAAAAATCACAAAAGTGTCTAAGAACATGTTTCAACAACATGCTCCTCGTGCCAAGCTTCGAATTAGCATATGACAGGTCTTATACAAAGTGTTGTAATAAAAGTTGTGCACGTTTAAATGCAACACCCTTAGTTGTCATGGGCCTCTAGCTAGGGATAATAGGGTCTGGTCCTCCGCACACTATCATAAAAAAACCATCGAGTTATTTGTATTTTTCTAGGTGATTGGCAACTGATCGTGATAAATTCTCACTACGTACAACGAAGGTGCCTCAAATTCTGAATATGAGAGGGGGAGAGATGAAAATGAAGAAGATAACTATAATAAATTTTAAAATATGGTAGTTCTCGTCAATTCTGAAAGACGTGTAGGGTTTTTTTAATGGCCGAAAAAGTAAATGCTTAATGAACTATAACAATATATAGCCACTTATTGTGTCACTAGAGGATTTACTAGAGGTATTTCCATCAAAATATTATTGAATGTCAATGAAACTTTCCCTAATATTCTCAACATCTATGGCCTACTTAATATGTTGATACAGCCTCCTGATTAAGAAATATTGGTTGCACTAATGGGTAGGGTTGCAAAGTTGTCACATTTTGCAATAGTTATTAGGGAACAAAAAAAAAAAAAGAGAGCATGAGCAAGAACATGAAGGTCATGTTTGGAAACCATAACCAAACATATTTTTTAAGCTTATTAAAAACAAGTCTCGCTTGATAGGTCAAAAGCTAGCTTTTTGAAAAGATTTTCAATAAATTTTAGAGGGCTTTTCACCCTTTGTCTCTAATTATGCCCTTATATTTTACACAAATGATCGAAAACTTTTCTTTTTAAATCATTTTACATTGTTATATAATTTATAAGTTAATTTTTATCAAATGTGACTAGTTTATAAGCTAGATCATCCGATATTGCGCTACCGCTTATCAGCTAATTTGCCAAACACAATTGAACCGTTAATGCTCTAAAAAGTCTAACCAAATGATTAAATGACTTTTAGGATGAACTAAAATGTGAACAAAACTAAGCACACATACAACTTCAAACTACTTTGGCCTCACCTATCGACCTTGAAATTACTCTATAACAACCGAATAAACTGCTCTAATAATCCTCGCAAAAGGGAAGCAACTTCATCAAATTCATTTCTTATCCTACATTACATCAGCAACACATCTTAGATTATAAATAGACTATTATATAAAAAACATGCCCAACCTCAAGACAGAAGTATGACATATATAAAACCAGATTACTTAGATGAAAAGAAACAAAACCTAATTCTAATTAGACTTTACGATGAACATACAACCACAGTTTGTTCTGAAACTAACAAGAATATAATTGCTTACAGTAATACAAGAAGGGAAAATCAAAAGCAAAATGGAATACAAAATAACGTAAAATATGGAAGAAAACGGAGAGGGAGAGACACCATTTTATCTATTAATCATCAAATACATGTGTAAAATGTAATTAATCATTCTATATTAAATTATTAAGAAAAAACTTCCCTTTATGTATCGTGAAATATAACTTAAACTTAAATTGATAGGGTTTATTGGGATTGTTTACCAAATTATAACAACTTACAATGACAACATCAGAGTCACATAAAGGAATCTGATCACCGGCTATGAAGAAAGTGCCTATAGACTCAAAGAACTTTCCGATCTTGGCATCCATGGTTTCCTTTAGGTGCCATATGAAGGATAATAAATTATGGATCTCGTATGGGTGTTGCTATATCTGAATACCCACCACTTTTACTAAATATACATCATCTAACCCATCTAGGTTTCCCATAAATCAATACCAACCACATATTTTTAATGGGCCACTTAATCTCATATTGAATTATAGTAAATTAAAAATTTCGTCTATGTGGTTTGTCAAAAATAGTTTTTAGATTTATTGTGTTATAAAGATCGAACTTTTGAAAAAAATTCTTTAATATAAAAAATAATACAAAATACGTTTACTTAATAATAAAAATAATTTTTATTGTATCATAAG